TATGAAAGATAAGAATAATCTTAATATTAATTAAGAAACTTGTAAAATTTCTTGATTATTATTATCATAATTCTTATTATTATCATTATCACTATTGTTGTCATCACCATTATAGTGATGACGTTAGAGCTCTTATCAGTGATAATGATATAAATATTCATGATAATAGAAATAAACACATAAAAATCAGGATGAAAATTGCGATAACATAGATGATAGTAATAAGAATAATTATACTACAACTTTGCTAATCACAACACTAATAATCATAATAATGACAATAATAATGAAGATGGATTCCAGGAGAATTTCGATTTTAATCAATCTTGTTTTTGCATTCTCTGCCAATGGTGATGTTAATAATAATGACAATAATAATAATGATGATGATAATAACAATTATGATGATATTGATACTAATAATATGATGATGATTACAATGGTAGTAACAACAGTAATAACAATAATAATAGAAATAATAATTTTAATTATCATTATTATTACTATCATTACTATCGTTATCATTATTATCCTTTTCATCATTGCTTTCACTACTATTTCAGTATTAGAATGATAAAAACAACAACAGTAATAACAATATTTATGATAATGTTAATGATAAGGACAAGAAAGATAATTATAATGATTATCAATAATAACAATAATAATAACAATTACAAAAATAGTGATAATGATGATAACATTCTTAATAACGTTATTGATAACTAAGATGAAAATACTCACTTGTACTATTATCATCGTTTTATCTCATTATCATCATCATCGTTATCATTGCAATTATCAGCAGTTTCTCATCCTAATCTCCTTTACTAGTGTTATGAGGACCACGAAAATATAGCCTCCTGTACAAAGACTCGCGCCCCAATGAATTTGACGGACAATATTAGGTCTCGAGAAAAATATTTACCAGAGGGACTGCCTTAAAGTGTCTGTTGTTCAGAACAGGAATCTTCGGGAGGAAATTAGCATGATTGCAAAGTAATATCGCTGGGCATCTCCCTTGGGTGTAGCTTAAACAGCTTTAGTGGAAACGCAGACGCACATACACATATACAAATTTAAACGCATTATCAACCTATCTAGCTAGTTAGTTGGATATCTCTATCTGTCTATCTACCTCTCAATGTCTCTGTCTGTCTGTAAGTATGTATCTGTCTCTCTCTCTCTCTGTCGTCTCTATCTCTCTTTCTGTGAAACACACACACACACATTCGTACACAAGCATATACATTACCCATAGCCCAAGGCATATACGTATATATGCACGTAGACAGACGGAAGAGGTGTACGCGGTCTCTGATATAGCTCCCCGATACCAAGGGTGAGTCCAGCTTTCATGTGCTCTGCCGATGCTTATCAGCTGTTCTTTGTGTATATGAGTGTGCGTGCGTATGGTAGTGAGTGCATGTGTGTATACATAAGTTTACATGCGTGTGACCAGGAGCACGTTTATCATTGCTTACTCGCGGACTGTATGTATCTGGTTCGGTGGATGTACCGTTGGTTATGGGGATGAGAACCTATACATAACATGATACAACATTATCTGCGTACACTATATGGTCGGCAAACCTTGACTGCACTTCATTAAAGATCAGACTTAATCACAGCACGTTCCCAATGTCTCTTAGAATCGGTTCGTCTTGCAACCGGAGTGCGAGTACTCCGTGGCTTGCTGGCCTTTTGGTGTGTGTGTGTGTGTGTGTGTGTGTGTGTGTGTGTGTGTGTGTGTGTGTGTGTGTGTGTGTGTGTGTGTGTGTGTGTGTGTGCGTGTGCGCGCGCGTGTGTGTGTGTGTGTGTGCGTGTGTGTGTGTGTGTGTCTGTGTGTGTGTGTGTGTGTGTGTGTGTGTGTGTGTGTCTGTGTGTGTGTGAAGGCCTATGGATCAATACTGAAATATGTTTATATTACTGCTAATCATGTATTAAAAATTCATGAATATTTAATGTTTTATGTAAGTATATGACATAAAACAACAGCTAAGTAGCACTTCATAAAACATAAACATATATAAAGACAGCATTATGCCACAGTAAAGAAATTAATTTTCCTCTTACCTTTTGAGAATTTTTGGAATCTTGAACGTGACAGTTGACGATGCCATGACGGAATAAACGTATATAAAAGTAAATCCTTATTACGGATAATTCTTGGTATCTTTTTTCTTTACACGTTCTCCCCAGGCTAAAATCCTTTTAGTGCAGTATGGAGCCATTATTCACATTAAAAGGGTACATCCACAAAAACTTCAATGAATGTTCAGTTTTTGTTTACTTTTATTCTCCTTAATGGTATTTTAATTTTTTGCTTCACTGAAACACTCTCTGTAGGTGATATCAAATATTTCTTTCCCATACGTTTTGCACCATAGAACTTAATATTTCTAAATCAGTCGCGCTCTTTAGCAGCTCACATCCAAATCGTTCATGATTCATAGTATCTGAAACACCGCAAGAACACTAATAATATAGAAGAAGAAAA